GACCTCCTGGGTGGCTCAGTCGGTTAAGTGTCCGACTTTGGCTCACATCATGATCTCACAGTTCATGAGTTCGAGCCCCACACTAGGTTCTCTGCTGTCAGCACAGAGCCTGCTTTGGATCCTCTGTTCGTCTCTCTCTCTGCCTGCTCCTCCCCGGCTCATGCTCCCCTTCTCTCCCCCCTTCCCCTGCCCCCCTGTCTCTCTCTCTCCCTCTCTCTCTCAAAAATAAAATTAAAGAGAGCAGCTGCTGTCCCGCCCAAGATCCACCATGCAGGGCTGGCAGTGCTGGAGTGTAGCTGGTCTGCTCTGGTACAGGGGCCACGATATTTCAAATTTCACCCTAGGGTGAGGGCCTGGGTTGCCTCCACCACTCTTTTCTGGAAGAAGCCTGAAACCTAAAATGCATGGGGGTTTAGGGCTTTCCAACTTCTGATCTCTTCATTCAGAGGAAATAGGGGGGGAGGGGGGGGCTTGCCTAGAGGGAAGACGGCCCACGGCTCAGCCCTAAGCTTTCTGGGAGATCCTTTAAGGGCCGAGTTCCCCCTGACCTTGCCCTCCTGCCAACAGTCATGACTTGTGCCGACCCTGGTGAGATCACCAATGGGCACCGTACCACCTCGGACGCTGGCTTCCCTGTTGGCTCCCACGTCCAGTACCGCTGTCTGCCCGGGTACAGCCTGGAGGGGGCGGCCGTACTCACCTGCTATAGCCGGGACACAGGCACACCCAAGTGGAGCGACCGGGTCCCCAAGTGTGCCTGTGAGTCTGGGGACACCCTGGGAAGGGTGGCTGGGTGGCTTGCTCAGCAGCGAGCCGGCCTGTGACTGACATGTGCCCTGCAGTGAAGTATGAGCCGTGCCTGAACCCAGGGGTGCCAGAGAATGGCTATCAGACGTTGTATAAACATCACTACCAGGCGGGCGAGTCTCTGCGCTTCTTCTGCTATGAGGGCTTTGAGCTCATCGGCGAGGTCACCATCACCTGTGTGCCCGGCCACCCCTCCCAGTGGACCAGCCAGCCCCCACTCTGCAAAGGTGCCTGGGCAGACAGGGCCGGAGGGGGCGCAGCAGTGTCTGGGGAGTGACAGGGCTGGGAAAATCAGGAAGCGAATTTGAGACCAGCGGTTAACCCTGCCGAGCTCCCCCTTCACCTACTGAGGGCTCTGATCCTCACGGGTATTACAGAATTGTCCTGAAGGATGATGGAGCAGAGGGGGCTTTGGCTTGGAAGTCCCGTGCCCTCTGGAGCAGTCTCCACTTCCCTACTTTTGACAAATTCCACAGACCTGATTCATTTAGACTGCCCAAGAAGGCTGAACTTTTAGGGGTCTGGAGAAGGAGGAAGAAGGCCCTGCCCTGACTACTCCTGCCACGCCCCCGCCAAGGGAAGGATAAAGTTTAGGGTGAGCAGAGGGCAGAGAGACCCAGGCTGTCCAGCCCAGCCCCCCTGGGCTCCCGGCCTCTACCCAGCCTCCTCCCCTCCCTGGCTCAGACCCCGTCCCCTCCCCCTCCTCTCCCTGCAGTGGCCTATGAGGAGCTCCTGGACAACCGAAAACTGGAAGGTCAGTGAGGGCACAGGTGGAGAACCAGGCCTGGCCGAGTCGGGGGGGCAAGGCAGAGGCCGGGGGCAGGAGGCCAGGCCCCGGAGGGGTGAGGCCCAGGGTTCGAGGCCCAGGGCAGGAGGCTGGGAGAGCCCAGGGCTGGGCCCAGCCCCAGCTCACTGGCCTCTCCTCTCCCCAGTGACCCAGACCACAGATCCGTCGCGTCAGCTGGAGGGCGGGAACCTGGCTTTGGCTATCCTGCTGCCCCTAGGTTTGGTCATTGTCCTCGGCAGCGGCGTCTACATATACTACACCAAGTAAGTACCCTACTCGGGAAGCCTCGAGCCAGGGCAGACGTCCTGCCTGCCTGGCACAGACGCCTGGGTGAGGGGGGGTTGGGGGCTCACCTCTCGATAAGCCCCTCTATCTCCTCCCTTTCCCAGGCTACAGGGAAAATCCCTCTTTGGCTTCTCGGGCTCCCATTCCTACAGCCCCATCACTGTGGAGTCAGACTTCAGCAATCCACTGTATGAAGCTGGGGTGAGCCCTTCCCCTGCCCCCGGAGCGCCACACCTCTCAGCTCCCCCAGGACTCCATAACCTTCTCTCAAAGTCTCTGTAATACCTGTCTGGGGAATTTCAACCTCAGCTGCCTACCAAGGCCACGCCAGTGAACAAAGCAAGTCAGGTGTGAACAATAGAGGGTGGTGAGGACTGTGGCTAAATGGAGACCTTGCACCCCATCGGGTCCGTAGTGGAGACTCGGGCACAGTTGCCAGATCTTCCAGTTGTTCGAGACAATCCAGAAACTCTGATTTTGTATGTGATTTTAAGATACTATAAGATAAACCGAACATCCCCTGGCTGTTCCCACCCCCTGGCTCCCAAACCTCGCGATCGATGTTATTTGTAAAAAGCCCACGGTCTCTCCCCTTCCTTGTGGGTGCCTCCTCTCACTTTGTTCCCTCCTCCATCCCCCTCCCACTCCAGCAACTGATCCCACCTCTCTGTCTCCAGGATACACGGGAGTATGAAGTTTCCATCTGAACCCCAAGACTAAGGCCGCAGGACCCAGGACGCCCCTCCCCTCCCCCTCCTGGGCAGGGAGGAGTACAGGACCTTGCCTCTGGCTCCCTTTCTCCCTGATGTGTAAATAGTCTCCTGGTCCCACGAGGGGGCTTTGATGGCCCTTGGGGACCCTACAGTAAATAAACCAGCATCCTGCCGCCCAAGCCTCCTCTTCTCAGTTGCCAAACAAGGGGCCTGCCCCTCCCCTCTGGCCCTACTGGCTTTTGGACCCTGGGAGGGGAACTCGGCCCCCCCGCAACTCCTGGGACCCCTCCAGCCCAGGGCAACCCCCCCCTCCCGCCCCCTGCCAAAGGACTGCCTGAGAGCTCTGCATTCCCTTGGCCATGAAGCCTCTTCCCAGACGCTCTGGCCCCAGGCCTAACCCCTGGGCTCTGGAGGGTCACAGGAAGAGAGATGTAGGGGGAAAACAGGGACAAGGCCCCTACCCACTTCATGCCGTCTCCCAGCCCACAATCTCCCCGCCTTTGCTTATGGATTTTTGTTTTTGAGCAATAAACAGAAAACCACCATTTGTAACTGGGCTGGTGGGGCGTGGGAAGGTGGGTCACAGAGTGCTGGACACATTGACGGTGGCCCATCTGGAGAGAGGCCTGGGCAAAGGGGAACAATTTGGAAAAAAGATGGCGTTCCAAGACTGGGCACAGGGCAATGTCAAGGGGGGTTGGCTAGGGGTCAAAAAGCCTGGCTTTCGTCTCACCCTCTGTGGAAGCTGAGCCCCCTCTGGGCCTCAGCTGTCTCTCCGCCAGGGCTTGGTGCTTCTAGGCTCATATAGAAGCACCTAGTCAGGAGATGGCGGACAGTAGGCAGGAGGCAAACAGCTTTCCATTTGTTTCATAACCAGTGTACCTAAAATGCAAGCTCCTTTTGAGAGCTTTTGTATCCATCCAAGTATACCATTCTTTTGTCCCCTAATCTGCTGTTACACGTCTACTAAGGAAGGGTCAGATTTGTAGCATTTCACAAAGAATGAGCTTGTTTTTTACCCTGTGGGCTTCCTTTTCCGGCATATCCACTTTTGAACATTATAAGGAATTTGTAGCCCATTTGTGTAAAGAGTCTCTGAATTAATTGCATTTCACTTAATTCAGATTTTTATATTTAAATATAATTAAACACTCTTAGGACACTCGAAAGGACACTGAAATACTCAAAAGGAGGTTGAATTTAGGAGAACATGATGCAAGCTGATCTTACTAATAATAACAGCCTGCATTTCTGGGCGTTTATTCTGTGCCAGGCATTGTGCTAAGCACTTTCTATGCATTATGTTTTTAACCCCTACGAGGACCCTGTGAGACAGGGACAATTATTCCCATTTTTCTCACAAGAAAACTGAGGCTCAGAGATGTGAATGGACTTCCTCATGAGGCTCCAATAAGTGGCCAGACCAGATTTATTTTTTTTTAAGTTTCTATTTATTTATTTACTTATTTATTTATTTAAGGTTTTATTTAGAGATACAGAGACAGCACGAGTGGGAGAGGGGCAGAGAGAGAGAGAGAGAGAGAGAGAGAATCTCAAGCAGACTCCACGCTGGCAGTGCAGAGCCTGACATAGGGCTCGATCTCATGAAACCGTGAGACCATGACCTGAGCTGAAATCAAGAGTCAGATGCTTAACCAACTGAGCCACCCAGGTGCACCCCAACCCCCCCCCCCCCATTCAGATTTAAATGCAAACTCTACAAAGCTGGCTATAATGAGTGTGAGCTGTTCCCCTAGGCATGAGGCCCCAGAGCTTGGAGGGGAGGCCTCAGCACTGCCATTAGTGGCAGAGAAGCTCCTCAGATGTCAGAAGCAAGGGTGTATCTTCTCAGATGCCAGAGGCCTAGACCTTAAGCTGTTGGAGTTTGGCTAGGAGGCTGGGTTTGGATCCATGAACTCATCTCTGCCAACAGGTTGACTGATAACAGTTTGTTGACTGCCTATATTAAAGCCATTCCAATAATATGGAATATTCCTTTTTTTTTTATTTTTTTATTTTTTTTTTCAACGTTTATTTATTTTTGGGACAGAGAGAGACAGAGCATGAACGGGGGAGGGGCAGAGAGAGAGGGAGACACAGAATCGGAAACAGGCTCCAGGCTCTGAGCCATCAGCCCAGAGCCCGACGCGGGGCTCGAACTCACGGACCGCGAGATCGTGACCTGGCTGAAGTCGGACGCTTAACCGACTGCGCCACCCAGGCGCCCCTAATATGGAATATTCCTGTCCACCAATATGCCCACACATCTGGCAAAACAAAAAAAGGAGCAGGAGGAGGGGGGAGGAGACGAAGGAAGGAAGGAAGGAAGGAAGGAAGGAAGGAAGGAAGGGGGAGATAGGGCCACCCTCTCATATCCCCATCCCAGAGAAGTCACTCCAGAGCATGACCTGGGTTGGGAGGAGGGAAGGACCTCTGTCTTTTTATTAAAGCCTTTGATTTCTGGTGATGTTCTTGCCAGTTGAGGGGGAGAGGTGTGTGATGGTTCTTGAACACCTAGGAAGCTTCCAGGGGTATGTTGCTCATGACCAGAAGTCCCAGCAAAGTGAAGTGTTAATGGCTCGTGAAAGAGGAGCTCTGATGCACGTTCTAGAAGGACAGAAGAGGGGAAGACTTGAGAGGCCAAGAGCAGCACCAAAGGGGGTTGGGGTCATCCTCCAGGTGTTAAGCTGCTAGGCAGAGCTCTCTAGAAAAGCAAAAGAGCCTTCTGATTCCTTGGACCCAAGGCTCATGTCTTCTTATCCTTCTATCCTTCACCTATCCATCTAACCCATATACCCCACTCACCTATTTATGCATCCACTATTCCCTATTTACCCACTCATCCATCCATCCATCCATCCATCCATCCACCATCCATCCATCCATCCACCCACCCACCGTCCATCCATCCATCCATCCACGTATTTATCCACATATCAACCCACCATTCTTCATCAATCTTTCTGCTCATCTGTCTGCCCATCCACCTATCCCTCATTCATCCATCCACTCACTCACCTCTCTTCCACCTAATCACTCTGCCCCCATTTAAACTTCTCAAAAGCAGGGACTCTATCTTGCTCACTTCTAGCCTCCAGCCCCTACAGCACTGCTGGCACATAGAAAGTGTCCAATGAACATTCAGTGAATTTACCTAACCATTTATCCATTCATCCATTTGCCTACCCTCTCCATCCACTCACCCATCCCCCCACTCAACATTTCGATCACCTACAATGACCTATATTTCAAGGGGCAATTCAAAGGTCTGTAGGCTTCCATGTTCTTTCTTGAGGAAGGAAAAAATCCGTTGGGACAATGGGGTGCTGCCCGGGGGGATGAGAGGGTATTGGCTCAGGATGAAATTCTCAATCAAGTGCCATTTGGGAAGAAGCAGGAAACCACTGTACGGGCAGGTAGAGCCCTTACAGAGCATCTTGTCCAAGGCTCCCATTTGACACATGGGGAGGAAGAAAGCAACTTGCTTCCTATCTAAGCTAACTATCAGGTTGACACCAGATTAACCCAGGGTTTTTCTGCTACTTCAAGCTGCTTCTAACACCAAAACCCAATTGGGAGACCTCAAGTGTCCCAAAGGCACTAGGAAGCCAGCTCCCTGAGGATAAGAACAGTGGATTGTTCTCGCTCTCTTGTGCTTCTGGTCTTGGTCATGAACATTTGAAGCAGCAGCCCTGGAGAAATGACTATCCCTCAGACCTGGTGGACCGGGCACAAACAAGACACTCAATAAACATTTGCTGTCAGTTCCTTTTCATGAACCCCGTCTCCTCCTCCACCAACTCCTTACACGGAGACACTCTTCAGGGCTCTGCCCTCAGGGTCCTCTTTTTTCTTACTATGCATAACCCCCACCTCTGGGGGCAACCACACATCCTTCAACTGCCAACTCCCTCCGAAATCCAATTTCTGTCGCCAGCCCAGATGTCTCCAGTGAGTTTTGAAGCCGTATTTCCAACTATCTACACTACGTTTCCACACGGAGCGGGATCTGTCCAAAGGCGGGAGCATGGCTGCCATACTCCAAGAATGGTGAGAAGGCTGGCATGACTGGAACAGGGGCAAACAAGGGGAAGGAAAGAGATCATGTAGGGCCTTATAAGCTATGATGGGCTATGGCTTTTACTCCGAAATGGGGAACTAGTGTGGAGTTCGGAGCAGAAGCATGAGGTCATCAGACTTGTTACCTAAGTCAGAAACCTGGGGGAAGGGAGGGGTCATCTGATTTCCTCTTTTATTTGTTCCCCTATCATTTCTAATCAATTACCAAACTCAGTCTTCCTGGTCTTTATTTCTCATATCTGCTCCTCTTCTCATCTATACTATCACTGTGACAATTCGAGACCTAATCATCACCGACTCAGTCTCTTGGCACAATTCCTAACTGGCCTCCACCTCCGGTCTTCCCTTTCCAGGTCATTCTCCCCACTGACCACCAGAGTGACTGATCTAAAATTGCAGCCTCTCTTGCTCAAATCTCTTCAGTGACTTCTGATCTTAATAAGCACACATAAGGTCTCTGAGTAGTCCCTGGCTACCCTGCCTGAGTCCTCTCACAGTTAAACTGCCTCTGGTCCCACCCTCTCCCCTGCCCTAAGCATCCATACACTCCCATGCACTCTAGTGAGACTCACCTTTGTGTCTTCGCTCGTGCAAGCCCTACCACTTGGAATACACTGACCAATCCATTTTTTTTTTTTTTTCCTAGAAGATTCTTTCCTTCGGTGTCACCCCCTCCAGGAAGTCCCATGATTCCTTTCCTTGCTGTTCCAACTGCAGCTGGGATAAGGGCTCTTCTCACTGTTTCCACTTCTATTACACTTCTATTACTTCTATTACAGGGCTCTTATACATATTATGCTGTAACTGACCATCTACTTGACCGGTCCCACATGACACCGTGAACTCTTCAGGGGCAGAGACCGTACCGTTCGTTTCTGGGTCCCAAACTCCTGAACCGGGGACTCGCATAGCCTGTGAACTCCACACGTTCGGTTAATACTGAATGGCGTTGTCATTCATGGAGTCGGTACAAACCTTGTCACGAGGGGATGGCAGGAGGTGGGTCTTGGTGCGGGTACGGTTTCTGTCAGAACTAGAGATGGCGGACGGAAAGGGGAGGGCTGAGAAGTCTGAATTTGAGGATCAGACCAGAAGAGAATCGGACTTCCCGGTTTAAAAATCCCCCTGCCCGCTAGGATGTTGTCAAACCCTCCCTCTCTCCCCTCCAGGCTCCTTATCCTTTTCCCAGGACAAAGGGCATCTCCATTGAAGATTTACTCACCGGGTGTCGGTGCCTCGGGTCTTGAAGAACACTAGAAGTAGAAGCCCCGGTCAGAGAATTTCCTACCCCTCTAGCCAGAAAGAGATGTGGCTAGAGAGGAAGGGGCTGAGGTGATTCCTGGCCAGCAGTGGGGAGTGGGTACCGGGTGAGTTGTGCGGGGAAGCACTAAGCAGTCCCAGGGAGGGCTGTGAGACGTGAGATTGCTGGAGAGTTCAGCTGTGGTTGGGAGGGGTCAGGGATTGGAACTAGGGGTATGGTGGGGTCTCTGGACACAGTGATCCTGGAGGTGGGGTCACCGTGTTTGGATATCTGAGTCCCTCGGTCTTGGGTCTGTTTTTCCTTGGTGGGCACAGGGTTCGTGCCATAGCTAGCGGTAAACAAGGCCTCATCAGTAAGTTCTGTGCTGATCTGGGTCAGGAATTCCTCAGAACGGGATAATGAAACCTGCAAAAGGGGAAATCAGAGAGACTCAGCCTAGGAGTCCCCACATGGGAGTCCTGGGTCTGGGGGCTCCCAGGCTGGGGCTCTGGGTCTAAGGAGTCTGGTACTGGAGGGCTGAGTCTTGAGGTTTGACAAAGGCGGCCCTGGAAGTAGGGGGGGCGTTGTGGTTTTTTTTTTGGGGGGGGGGAGTTTCTTTGAGGACCTGAGGGCCTAGTGCTGGGGGCTATGGGCTCAGGGTTGAAGCTAGCCTCTCAAGGCTGGAGACTCTAACCCCTGGCCTAGGAGCTCTCCACTCCATCTCACCCCCATGCTCACTGGACCTCCACCCAAGGAGGTTGCAGCTTGGGACATCCTGCTGCCCTTTTCCTCCTCATTCCTGGTAGGTGTGGACGCCATCCTCCTGGGAACAGGTGGAGCCTGTGTTAGGCTGAGAAACCAGCCTACTTCCCCCAGACCCATCCCATCACCATTCCTCGGGGCCAGATTTAAATAAGGCCTTTAGGTGAACCATCCTGCTGTCTCAGTTCTCTCCCTGGGTGGGGGAAATCCTTGCCTTAAATCTTCCTGGGGGGAGGGAGTGGAATAGGGATGCTCACAACAATCCTCTCCCCACCCCCACTTCTCCCAGGGACACTCTCCTTCCTCCCACCTAAGGCCCTTCCCAAATCAAGGCAGCTGGCTTGCCGGCCCAGACCTGGCAGGAGTTGAAGTCTCGGGAAGAGGTAAACAGAGAGGGCTAAGGAGCTCCTATTTAGGTCTCAGGGGACGGGGAGTAGGCGCTGGGGAGGAAGGTTGGAAAGGGGGGGGGACCGGGGTGGTGCGGCTACCGTCGCTACAAAACCCTTGGTGTCTGCGGACGTTCTGCAGCCCGGTTGCCAGGATATTAGGGATTCTAGAACCAAAGGCGGGGGCCGGGGAGAGGGAGCATTTTCCCAGCATGTCGCGTTCGCTCCTCTGGTCTCCACTCCACCTCCTTCTGGGTCCCTCCTTGGGGATGCTGGGCCCAGCACCAGAAGTCTGAAAAACTTTGGAAGATCACAGGTGGTGCCTGGGACCCAGTCCTCCTACCACTAGGGGCACGCAAGAAACAACCCTGCCCTCGGCCGCCTTCCAACCTCTCTAGCCATACTCTCGCTCCCTGGAGCCTTCGAGAGCAAGGGCGAGACAGGGGCGGGGAAGAAACGATGTGGGCTGTACTAAATAACCTTGTATCTCAGGGACGCGTAGGTCTAGGAGGGCGGAATATTTTCTCCGTGTCTTCGTCTCCAGGAAGCTATACCCTCCGGAGAGAGAAGAGTAGAAGCAGTTCCTCTGGGCCTCCTTTTCTTTTGACCTCTCCTCGGTTCCCTCCTCGGCGTCATGGCTTCCTTGCCCCCCTCCTCCCTCTGCGTTTTGGTACGCGCCGATAGAAAGGGGCGGAGGGAGGAAAAGGAAGAGGAAGCGGGCAGGTCTTAAAGGGGCCGCAGCCATTTTTAAGCTTTTTTTTTTTTTTTTTTTTTTTTTCTTTCTCTTTTTTCTTCCAATTTTGCCCGGTGGGGCTCAGCTGGGGTGGCGAGGGCGGCCGCTGGAGGCGCGAGGGCCTGCCCCCCGGGGAGGGCGGCGTGTGCGCGCCCCGGCGCCCGACGCACATCTGGGCCGGCCGGTGCTCCGGCGGGCTGCGAGCTCTAACACCTGGGGCCGGGCGGGGACAGCCGGGAGCTGCGCGCTCTTGGCGCTGCCGATGCGCCGGGCCGGAGGGTGAGGCCGCGCGGCGGGGCTGGGACTCAGTTGCCACCTCCAGATCGGGCCCGGGGCTGCAAGGGGGTCGCCGCGATGCCAGGCGAAAATATCTTCCTGTTTGTGCCTAACCTCATCGGTGAGTGCTGCCCGCGGCTCCGGGCCGGACGGGAGGGCGAGGGGCCTCGGGCGGGGTCTCTGATTCCACCCTCTCTGCCCCCGTCCATCCCAAGGTTATGCCCGGATTGTCTTTGCCATCGTTTCTTTCTACTTCATGCCCTGTTGCCCCCTCACGGCCTCCTCCTTCTACTTGCTCAGCGGACTTCTGGACGCTTTCGATGGACACGCTGCTCGAGCCCTTAATCAAGGTGACTGACACCTCCTCCCAACCAGCCTTGGGGCCCGACAACCCTCGGTCCCCTTTTCCTGCTTCCTGAGGACCTTAGGGCGGGCGGGTACTCGGAACCAGAGGGCTCCGTCATTCCCATCTCTAGAAGGCAGAACAGAATGGCCTGGTTTTGTAACCGAAGGGATTTTAGCGGGCTCTGAAGAAGAACCCACTGATAGGGTGTGGGGTAAGCAAGACGAGGTGGCAGTGGCAGTGCTGAAGGTCTCTGAATAAAAATCCACTTGACAGGTGTTTGCTGGGGGGTCTCCTGTGTGCCAGGCACAAGGAATAGGGGTTCCAGAAGGCATGTTTAGAGGGAGACTGGAGAGGGAAGACGGATGGTTTCTGGAGGGTTGATTTTTTTTTTTTATTCTATTCTCCAAACCCACCAGCAAGACTTCCCCTAAGACTTTAAGTCTGCTTGTCTTGAGTCCCGGACCATTGATTCTGGGATTGATGAGTTGTAGACCTAGCCTTCTCAGGCCCTGCTACACGCTCCTGTGTCTCTGCATTTCCTGCATGGTGACCCTTGTCCTTTGACCTCACACCGCACGGATAGCAGCAGCCTGTTTTCCTCCCCAGGCAAGTGGGTGGTGACATTTTCAGGCTTCTTTTAGACTCTGCATCAGAAAGACACAGCAAACCTGGTCCCTGCCCCTGATGGCCCCTTCCCACCTAACAGCCCCCGTTTTTCAGGGACCCGGTTTGGGGCCATGCTGGACATGCTGACGGACCGCTGCTCCACCATGTGTCTGCTGGTCAACCTGGCCCTGCTGTACCCACGGGCCACCCTTCTCTTCCAGCTCAGCATGAGCTTGGATGTGGCCAGCCACTGGCTGCACCTCCACAGGTCTGCGATTCTGGGGGTGCCGGCCAGCTGAAGAAGAAACTAGAGTGGGGAGGGGGGGAGGCCGTCTGGGAGGGTGTTTGGGACGGCTTCCGGCTTCCTGGGAGGTCTCCCTTTCAGCTCTCCTTTGTTGAAGGACCCTGGGCAAATCCTCTGTCGGTCAGCTCTTGGTCCTGTTCACAGTTGAATTAAGCAATCCCTAAAACTCTTCAGACCGGATGGTCCCAGAATTCCAAATAGATAACAGCTGGGGGCTTTTGAAACAGCCTTCGAATCCTGACTCTGCTAGGTAATTACCAACGAGGTAATTGTGTGGCTTCAGGCCAGACCGTGGTCCTCAGCTGTGCCCCACTTCCTCTGTACGGCAGGGACGATCCCAGCACCTACGTCGTGAAGGTGGCTAGGAGGATTAGATGGGTGTTAGTGGTCAGGAGTGCTCATGGACTCCCCTTGCTTTCTCCCCAAGTTCTGTGGTCCGAGGCAGTGAGAGTCACAAGATGATCGACCTGTCTGGAAATCCCGTGCTTCGCATCTACTACACCTCCAGGGTGAGCATTTCCTGCCCCTCCCTTATTCCCTCAGCTCCCTCACCTCCTGCGGGGGCCCAGCCCTAGTCTTACCTTAGGGGTCAGGAGGGGGAGGGAGGAACCAACCCAGAGTTTTCTCCGGAGGGGGGAGGGGAGGCCTGTAAGCTGAGGCACGAAGGGGAGGGCAGGATTGGTGAGGAGGACTTGTGCAGGCAGCAGGTGGGCTGGAGGCCCGGTGCACCCAGAGAGGGGCAGGTGCATCCAGAGAGGGGGAACCTGCCCTGGAGGGAAGGAGAGAGCGAAGCCAGATTGGCCTGTGGAGCCAGTGCGCAAGGAGCCTTAGGCAATAAAGTGTGGGCTTTATTCTGGAAGCGGAGGTCGTGTCTGAAAGAATGTTTCAAGAGAGAAGCAATAAAGAGAGAGCTGAGATTGCTCTTTCCTCTCACCCTTGCCCCCCCCTGCACACCCATTTCCCGGGTCTGGTTCTTCCCGGCTACCCATCCGCAGAGGGTTCTGGTCCCCCCTCCCTTCGCGGGGGGAGGGGCGGCACTACCCTTGCTGAAGCAGCCGATCTGCTGTTTGTGCAGCCCGCTCTGTTTACCCTGTGTGCTGGAAACGAGCTCTTCTACTGTCTCCTCTACCTGTTCAATTTCTCCGAGGGACCTTTAGGTAGGAGGCGAGGGGCTGGGCAGGAGCGTGGGAGGGGGGCCTGGCCTGCCCCGGGGTGACGAAGGCCTGAAGGCCGCCAGCTCCCAGGCCTCTCCCTCACCTGCATCCCATTTTCTTTGTATCCTCCCCGTGCTCCCTTCTGCAGTTGGCTCTGTGGGTCTTTTCCGAGTGGGCCTCTGGGTCACTGCCCCTATCGCGGTGCTCAAGTCTCTCATCAGTGTCGTCCACCTGATCACAGCCGCCCGCAACATGGCCGCCCTGGACGCCGCGGACCGTGCCAGGAAGAAGTGACCCCAGAACCTCCAGCCCCTGGCTGCCCACCTGCCCTGGGAGTCTCGCTGTGCCACGCGGCTCCCCCTCTCACTCCCGCGAGGTCCCAGGCTCACGTCTTCCTAATGTGTTGTCCGGCCTGCTGGGAAGGGCGTCGGCCTCCTTGGTGATGCCATGTTCTCTGAAATCCTGAGGACCAGTCCCACCAGTAGGATTCCCCAGGACCTGGACTTCAAATCAGGAAGGATGCTCAGGAGGCCCCGCCCATACGGGCAGTGCTCCTAGGGCACCAAGAGACCTGTCTGAGGACCGGGCATTGTCGCACCTGCTGGCTCAGCTCTGGGGTCTGGCTTGGCCTGAGGCTTCAGAGACACCTGAATGAGGGAGATGGGGTAGGGGCCAGGTTTCTCGACAGGCAGGGAGTCAGGCCTGTGCCCCTGGCCAGAGGAAGCCTGCGGTCCCACGGCCAAGAGAGAAGGAGCCGAGTAGATCCTTTCCCATCCCAGCCTCCTGTGTCTGGTCTATCCCAGCTCTGAAAACCTCTGTAATAAAGGGGGAGGGGGACGTCACTCTCCAGGATTTGGTTTCCTTTGAGATACAGTTGGACCAAGGCCTGGGTTGAGGGGAGCTTGGGGAAAAAGAAGATTCATCTGGATGCTTTCCCCTAGTTGCTTACTGTCTGGCTCTGTCCTGTCATTCCACAGTGACCTCAGACAGAGGCCCTCCCTGCCACCCAAGCTCGCACCCTGTCTCTGCCTAGTTTCTTGATGACCTCGTCACTGGCTGTCTCCATTTATTTGTATACCTCATATTTTCTATCCCCACCAGAATGTAAACTCCCTGAGGGCACAGACTTTTCTTGTTCTTCCTCTGTCCCCACAATGAAGATTAACCTGAACCTGGCAGATCATAGCCACTTAATAAATATTCACGAACAGATCAGTTGGTTTCTCAAGAGTGCAGTCTTTGGATCACCTGTGGATTATTTCTTTAAAATTCAGCTGCCCGGATCTTGTGCCAGACCTTTGGAGTTGGAATCTCTAGGGATGGGCCCCGAGGTCTGCAAGTTTAATACACTGCAGGTGACCGATTCTTCCCCATAATGTTGAGAATCACTGTTCCTTCGTAAACAGTTCTGGGCATCTGTCCCTAATAGCTACCTACCCCTGCCATTTGAGCTTTCTCTGCTGTCTGGCACCAGCTTGCTTTTTAAGGCTATATTGAGCCTACCATATGCCAGATCCTGTGCTGGGGGGTTGCGGATGCCACTCATTTCATCCTTATAATAGCTTGGCCAGGAGGCCTTCGTGTCCCGGAGAGCTGAAATTTAGCAGATGGGTATTGAGCCTCAACGCCTGTGCTAGGCCCAGGGGATTAGGTCAGCCCTCTTGGAGGTCACAGGCGAGCATGTGGGGGGTGTGGGGGTGTGGGGAGTAGTCTGGTGGTGCTTGGAGGAGGGGACAGGAGAAGGAAGTCCGGAAGTCCCGGAGCGCTTAGGTGTGGCTGAAGCCGGTGGGTGTCTAGACCGCTGCTAGGGATTGGGGCGGGAAGGGTTAATGTATCAGAGAGGGTGGATTCGCAGCTGAGACTTTGGGAGCCTGGAGAGGCCAGAGAGCACACTGAGCAGTTGCAGACAGGGAAATGCAAACAGATCGATGTGCCTGGAACACTCAGCGCTGGGGGCTGGGGACTGGGGGCTGGGGGCGGGGGGCGGGTAAGAGATGCCCTCAAGCCAGCGGGGCAGCCCGAGGAGTCCCGTAGGGCGTTTGGGTTTTGTCCTGAGGGCCACATGGAGCCACCGAAGAAATCTTTCCAAATAATAGGTAAAATATTCGTGCAGCAAAGATACTAAATCGTGACCAAGTCTGCCTCCTTAAGCCCCCACTCCTCCCCAGAGGTGACCAGGGCTCCTCAGAGCTCAGATGTCTGTCTCGGTAAATTCTCCACGTCTGCACGCACACATTCCCGTATCGTAAACCTCATCCTGCGGGTGTGCTGTTCCGCTCTCCCAAGCCACCCTCGTGCCAAGTGCTTTTTGTGTGCGTCTGTTCCCTCACTTCGCCCCACACCTACGCTGTCCTGTGTACTAGACAGCACAAGCCTTTTAGTGTGCCCATTTTCCAGAGAGTAGGTCGAGGCCCTCAGGGGCGTCCATCTTGGTTGGCCTGGCCCCAGAGCCTGCACCCTTAACGTTTACCGCCCACAGCCGTCCACGTCGGCAGTCTGCTTAATGGTGGCACAGAATTCCATTATTTGTTTCACCAGGTCCTGCCACCAAAACAAATGAGGCTGTGGTAAATCGCCTGTGCCCTCTTTTGGAGGGCACTTGTCTAGGCAGGGACAGATTTATACTTGAAGCTAGTATACATTACTCAGCTGCCATTCCAATGCTTCAGGGGTCCCCCTGCCTGGCCTGCTCCCAGATTCCCATCTGTCTGCCCACTGTCCCTCGTGAACCAGCTGTCCCCTCCAGAGGGATGCATCCTTTCAGCACTCAAGATGGCTCCCTCCACGGCCGGCCCTGCCTCCTTGGCTCTTTGACCCTAACCATTTACAGCGACACCAGGAGTCTCTTACATAAACCCAGCAAACCATGGCCTAAAAAAGAGGGAGAGGTGGGCAGGGGAGTGTGAATGTCTCCACTCAGAAGAATACACCCCTGAGGCCTGAGGCCCCAGCATCAAAGACTCGTGAGTCCCCTCCCCTGGTAGGGCCTGGAGGTCAGCCTGTGCCTTTGGTCCCATGTCCAGTGGCTGGACTGAGCTCAGCAGAGTGGCCTGGAGGAGGCCAGTGGGGAAAGTCTAGGCTGAATTTGATCTAAGGAACGTGGTGGAGGAGCGCCTGGGTGGCTCAGTCGGTTGAGCATCCAAATTCGGCTCAGGTCATGATCTCGCAGTCTGTGAGTTAGAGCCCCGCATCGGGCTCTGTGCTGACAGCTCGGAGCCTGGAGCCTGCTTCGGATTCTGTGTCTCCCTCTCTCTCTGCCCCTCCCCTGCTCATGCTCTGTCTCACCCTGTCTCAAAAATAAATAAAAACATTAAGAAAAAAAATTTTTAAGGAACATGGTGGAGCCATATGTTACCATGGGCTAAGTGTTTGTATGCTCCTAAAATTCATGTTGAAACCTAATGCTTGACGCGATGGCGTTTGGAGATGGGGCCCTTAGGAGGTGATAAGGTCTTGAGCCTTCATGAATGGGATTAGGGACCTCACAAAAGAGGCCCCAGAGAGCTCTCTTGCCCCTTCCACCAAGTGAGGACAAAGTGAAAGGTGCCGGCAGGAAGAAGCAGGAAGAGAATTCTCACCAGAACTTGACCGTGCTGGTGGTGCCTTGATCTTGGACTTCCAGCCTCCAGAACTGTGAGAAATGCATGACTGTGGTTTATAAGCCCCCCAGTCTGTGGTATCTTGCAGCCCGAATGGACTAAGACATCATATGTGCAGTAAGAGCTTTCCGGATTTCAAGTATATGCTTTCAGAATAAACGAATAACCACCATGCAAGACATTCCATTTGCTCATTCCACTCAACTGGCTCAAGCCTCCGGGAGGGCACGGCCTGGGCACCGTGAATCTGTTCTTCCCTCCGGTAAGCCTCACTGCTATAACAACCTCAAGATGCACAGTGGCTCAATCACAACAGAAGTTTATTTCTGACTCCTGTTAAGTCCTCATCAGGAGCTCCTGACTGGGAAGCAGCTCTCCTGAAGCTGAGACTCAGGGAAGCCGCCATTTTCAACACAGGACTTCCAAGAACATTCCACCCTCGCATTAGCTAGGCGGGGGAGGTGGGCCCGGAGGATTGTCTGAGGATGGCTTTTACGGGAAGCCAGGGAATTGGCACGTCTATTTCCCTTCACTTTCCATTGGCTACAACTCAGTCATGCAGCCACATCTCTATGCAAGGGAGGTTGGGAAATAGAGATTAGTTGTGGGCTTAGGAGGAAGAGAAAATAGACTGGGTAAACATCTTAGCACGCTGAGTGTGATTTCACTGTTTAAAGATGCACATTTTTCTTTCTTTTTAAATTAAAAAAAATTTTTTTTCTTTTTAGCATTTATTTTTGAGAGACAAAGACTGAGGGCGAGCAGGGGAAGGGGCAGAGAGGGAGACACAGAATCCAAAGCAGGCTCCAGGCTCTGAAGCTTGTGGGCTTGAACGCACAGACCACGACATCATGACGTGAAGTTGGGAGGGAGCTTAACCAAATGAGCCACCCCAGGTGCTCCATTTTTCTTTTTAAACTTTTAGAGGAAACCAATTTGACAATAAATTTCATATATTGAAAAAAAAATTAAAAAAAATAAAAATAAACCATGTCCTTAAAAAATAAATAAATAAATAAATAAAATAAACTTTTATTTATTTATTTTTAATTTTTTTTTTCAACGTTTATTTATTTTTGGGACAGAGAGAGACAGAGCATGAACGGGGGAGGGGCAGAGAGAGAGGGAGACACAGAATCGGAAACAGGCTCCAGGCTCTGAGCCATCAGCCCAGAGCCCGACGCGGGGCTCGAACTCACGGATCGCGAGATCGTGACCTGGCTGAAGTCGGATGCTTAACCGACTGCACCACCCAGGCGCCCCAAATAAACTTTTAGAGAGAGAGAGAGGGGAGAGGGGCAGAGGGAGCGAGAAAATCTAAAGCAGGCTCCATGCTCAGTGCAAAGCCCAGTGCTGGGCTCAATCCCATGACTCTGGGATCATGACCAGAACTGAAATCGAGACAGACAACCAACTGAGCCACCCAGGCGCCCAGACGCAGATCCTTCTTACTCAAAGGGGCCCTAAATCAATTACTTTATCAGTATTCAAGCAAAGAAAAGCCAATTGCTCGACTGCTGGAGGAAAACAGGTTGTGTTGAACTTCATCAGAGGTCACAGTGTTCTGTATTTTATGGGCAATTTAAGGGACTCTCAAGGGTAAATTTAGTACCAAAGGGACTGGCTTAGAATCCGGCTCACATCCGGCTCACACCGGGTAATGTGAGCTCCACATTATCTCCAGTGAAGCCCCTTTTCCGGTCATTGGGGTATATCTGGTCTCCCTCACCCTACAATCAGTACCGGGCCCGTCTTCCTGCGTACATTTATTTATTTATTTATTTTTAAATTTATTTTCTCTCAAAAATAGCTCAGCTGTGCTGAGCTGTCAGCACAGAGCCCGACACGGGGCTCGAACTCACGGGCCGCGAGATCATGACCTGAGCTGAAGTTGGACCCTTAACCGACTGAGCCACCCAGGTGCCCCATGTGTACAATTTAAAGAACAGCTTCCCGCATTACCTTACCAGACTACAACCTTGTGAGGTACACAGAAGTGGTCAGGATAGGCTAGGTTACGCTATGGTAGCACCCCCTCCCGCCCCCGCAACTTCGGTTCCCTAACACAGCAAACATTTCCTGTCCCTGTGGCAGGTCTACTGTGGGTCAGCTGTGACTCTGCCTCATGCCATTTCTCTCTCGGGAACCCACACCGACAGAACAGCCTCTGTTTGGAATACTGCCTGTCACCACGGAAAAGGGAAAGGAGAGGACAGTGATGCCACTTCCCCTTGCATTTCACTGGCCAGAACAAGTCATACAGCCAAGCCCAATGGCCATCAGAGAGCCATGTGGAGACATCAACTCAGTTGGAAAGGAGTCCGGAGTTCAGGGGTGAGGTCAGGGATAGAGGACTACATTTGAAGTCCGTGGGATAGAGATGCTCTAAAGCCATGGGACTGGCCAAGGTTGTCACTAAGAATGGGGTTCAGGGCAACCTGTGACTGAGACGGAGCAGAAGGAGTGGAGCTGGCCAGGGAAACAGGAGTGGCCCCTGAGGTGGAGGCCATGTCATGGGAGCCCAGTGTGGAAGAGGGATGGCCCTTGTCCCGAATGATGGCAGAGGCTGAACAAAGAGAATCTAACTGCGGGGTCTAGCAACAGGGATGTCATTGG